GCCGCATGTTGTTGAAGTGATTCACATTTGAAGCCATCCGTATCTTGATATGCTGTCTACTTTAGAAAATTGAATACAGTACATCAGCATATTCGATTACATCTACGAATCATCATTATACCATGCCACTTCACACGTGTTGAGTGGTCTTGCACATTAAATAAAAAGAAAGGGAAAAACCCCAAGAATTTGAAGAGAAAGTCCAGAGTGCACCTAGGCATATGGCAAGGCAACATCCTTCCATTGGAGAACTCAAGGAGCTTAATTGCCATTACATAATTTACATTGATGTATCATAATTATGCCTAAATTGAATTGCAACGTGAAGGCGTTACTATTGCAAATGTTTATGATTACTTTAGCATGCATCTTCTTCAACATACATCCAATACAGAATTCCATTGCAAGGCACTTATGCGCACTCCCTTAATCATCATATGGTTTAGTTCACAGGAGTATTCGGGGCATCTCAATCTCAAAACCGCCTGTCAAAAACTAGCTACAGTGTCTTCTAAAAGCATGTATCTGCTGAACTCAGTTAGTCAATTAGATGGTTAATACTTCAGAGCTCAGAGGCAAAATTGGGGCACAATCTCGTGCTCTACATATCACATACTCACGACAAACATCTGGCATCAAAACCTCCCTTGTCCTTCTCTTTGATCTCATCCGGTTTGAGCACATGCAGGAGAATTGTCAGAACAATCTTTATGATTTCCTCTTCATCGTACGATGTAGCAAACCTGACTGCAAAATGTAATTGTTTTATTGTGTCACCTCATGAGTTAACTCGATGCTCCTTGTTGTGGTAGATACCAAGATAATCTAAACCTAAGCTATAATAAGGGCTGTTTGTGTTATTTCAAATGGATAGAAAGTATTCAATTATATGTAAATAAGCTGGACTATTCTAATTGCTTACCCCAAGGAAGGATTGGAAACTCCCATGTTTGCTTAGGAACTGATATATCATATGCAGCAACCTGAAAATGATTGAAACTACTTGTGTCAGGCATTGCTTTGGTGCAAAGCATTTTCCAAAATATGTGCAGTTAGAATGCAGCATACATACAAGAGTGGAAGCAGCAAGTGAGCAGGGAGAATTGAAAAGTAATGAGGTATCTTCTGTTTCATACAGAATGTCCAAAATTTCCATGCACACTTCCAGATCCAAAAGTTCACCTAATTTTGATATTTCCCTGGCAGTGAAGAAGAAAATAAGGAGTGAGTGAATTAATTGAAAAATATAAAGCTATGTTTATTTATATCAAGATGTCAATAACTAGCAACTAGTAGCAATTCACACAGCTGTCCAACTATGGTAAAATACTAGCAATAGTAATAGAAATACTAATAATGATTCATTTGCTTAGTACTTACTGATAATAGTTCCAGTGGTCATTAGTTTGTACTTTGTAGGATTGGTGAAACTGTACAAACATGGGAATCAAACAAGTCGTTCAATAGGGGGGTTTAGGAGATTTTCTTTTTATCAAACACGCAGGGAGCTGTATATCTTTCTATTAAGAAGGATATCTAGAGGAATTTTCTGATTATCCAATATGAAATTTCTTTTCTTAATTTTTCATATTGCCAGATTCACTTGTGAAAACAAGAGAAGATATATTGTAGATAGGAGACATGTTATGAGATTATTTTCGCTAATGTGCCCCCATTTTAGCATTTCTCAGAAAGATATTTGGTGCTAAAAGCTGCTATAAAGAGCTACACAGTCTGCTTCCTAAGAGTGAGAAAACAGAATGTGACACAGTTAACATTTTAGTTGTGATTAGTTACTACTTGCTACTCCCTCCGCCCCAAAATAATTGCACATCTCGCACTTCGAGGAGTCAACAAATCTCTAGTTTGATTGTATTTATAGGAAATAGTATTAGCATTTGGACCTCTAAATAGATTTACTATGAAAATATATGGTGTGATTGATCTAATGATATTTATTTGATATCATAAGTATTAGTACTTATATATATTTAGTTAAACATAAATTAGTTGACTCCTCGATGTGCGAGATGCGCACTTATTTTAAGACGGACGGAGTACACATGTTTGTGATAAAATAAAAACGAGGACTAGATGAGAGAGATTTCATTACTATAATAATGGTAATTCACAACAACAAAAAAAGAATATTTTGTATAAGCTCCCATTATTCACACTTTCAGGTTTCATAGTTTGCCTTGAACAGGGTTAACTACTGTTTACGGATCAGAAAAAGGTTGTAAGCAATCCAAATAACCTGAAATGGATGAGAAGCTCCTCCAGGTATATGAAAGCAATGCTTGAAGATCCAATGCTGTGATCCACTACCTAAAATCCCACAAAAAACAAAAAGAATATAACATAGTTGACCCTATCAACTTAACATATTGTCCAGTAATAATCTTAGCCAGGAGTTACCTCCAAGAACACCAATTCCTGCAGCATTACAGATTAGAGAAAACACCTTCAGTGATTCAGTCACAACAAGTATGCATTCAGAAAAGGAATAAACAGTTTATCATGAACTCACAGCAGTGGCGAAATCGCGGCACATGAAATGCTGGTCGGCGATGATGTGATCACCCAGGGCTTTGAGGCTCTTCACTGACATCGGCCTCCGATCATGGATCTGAAGGAAGAATTTCACAGAGAAGGCAAGGTAGTGCTACCGCCCGCGACATGAAAGCACGCAGCGTTAGCTCAAAGGAAAGGCTTACAGTGTCTCTCACCTTGCTGGCAATCCACACCGCGACGAGCGAGAATAGCTCGAGGTTGCTGTCCCTCAGGGGCTCGAGGAGCCAGGACCTGACGACTCGGCCGCTTCGTGTGCCGCAGTACCCCATCTCCCTACAGCAACCGGGGCAAGGGATGAGAAATTCAGAACCATCGTCCCCCATAGAAGAAGGGGTGAATGTTGGAAAACCTCGGGAGCGCCGGGAGGAAGCGTCCGGCGAAGAAGGTAAGTGCGGCGTACTTGACAATGGGCCGGAGGTCGAGCCGCTGCGAGGAAATCATGGGATGTAGCAGCTGAGGTCTATCAGGGTTTTGAAGTTGGGTTTGGGAACGGAAGGCACGGAATAGCTCACCATGGAGGCGTGGAGAAGGAACTGGAGGAGGTGGCGGCGCCTGGATGAACTCGGCCACGTGCTCGCCGCCGCCGCATCGTCGTCGTCCTCGATTTCCATTGTGACGCACGAGACAGGTAGACGAGCAGCAGCAGGGCCCCCCGGGACAGCCGGCAGAGTCTTCGGAGTCGAAAGCGCAAGAGAAGCGGAGACAGAGGCCGAGCGGGCCGTCCGCGTACAGATCCAGAAGCGACCCAAGTACAAGACGAAGGCCCACTCGTCCATCAGGCTGGAGCAGTTCTCCCCTGCAATATGGCCCAATGAATGCTTTCCGAATGACAAGAGGTGAGACTATTTTGATTTGTTGATAGGGGCTGTTTGGATGCTGATACAAATTTATTTTTTTGGGAATTTGTCGGAATGTGCTCCTATTTATTGATAGGTTTTTGGTTTACGCGGGCAATTGCAGCGAGTGCTTGTCAAAAAGCTTTTATAACCAATGGTGTAGGAGATTTTGGTCTGTTATTAGGAATTTTAGGGGTTTTTTTGGATAACGGGTAGTTTGGAGTTTCAGGATTTGTTCAAAATAGCTAATATCTGGATTCCTAATAATGAGATTAATTCCTTACTTACTACTTTGTGTGAGCTTTCACGGGCCACAGCTCAAAACCTGTGGCAATAATAAAAAAAAACTTGACCTGTCGGGGATAACACAGCCCCGGGGTATTGTGCTTAAGAAGAAGACATTCTCACGAAGGTCGAGGAAACCCCTGAACCTCTGTCCCACCTATACACAGCGGCACCGCAGCTCCCGTGACACTGTGCTAGCCTTAGACCTATGCTTTGACGTGGGGCAGACGAGGGGATTTTTTCAACGCACAAATAAATTGTACCTCCTCCGGCCAACAAATCCACCCCTAAGGGGCTTCGAACTCTGAGTGGTAGAGTGCAAAGCGCACAGCCAGATCAACTGGTCTAGCGTTCGCTTGCACCTGTGGCGATAATAAAAAGGAGAGGGAGTTGTGGCTGCCTAATAATAGTTTAACGGTAGCAGCGCTGTTGTGGCGGTCACGCACCTGTGGCGTGGTGGATTGAGGCAGGGAACCAAACATTCCCTGACTTTTTGGCACAGCGTAGAAAAGCTGCATGGATATGTTTGCACTTTTTTTTAACAAATATCATAGCTTCCAAAAAAATCAGATATGCAATAAGAAGTCAAGTTGTCAAGCTATAATTTTCAATTAATTTTTAAACCCTCTCAGTGAACGTTGAACTCCTTTTAACACTGATGGATCCATCAAGTTAAAATCAAATATTGACCATGTTTAGTTGTCTCTCTAACAGCTTCAAAAGATGTGTGGAGCTGTTTTTTTTTTTCAAACAGATTAAAATAGAATAGCTCCTCGCCTCCTCAAGCGGAGTTTCTTAAAACTGGCTCTTTACAGGAGACGGGTGCCGGATGGAGCCGAAAATATTAGCTTCTCCCGTCTCATTCTCTCCTATTACTATGAGAAGGTGTTTTATCAAATATTTTTCAATGCAGCTTCATAGTGAAGCCGGAGGGGAAAAAAATCTCCACTAGTGAAGTAGAACTGCTCTAATAAATAGGTTTATAATAATAAAAGGTAGATAGATGCTTGGAATTTGGGTTGTGGACGTGAAATGAATAGAATTTTTTTATCTAACTAAAAGCTTGAAAACTTTTCTGTATTATTCTTTTGTCTAAAGATTTCTCTTTTTTCACTATATATATGTCGTAGTGCTGACTTTTATTTTCAAATGGAGTTCAAAATCCATCTACCTTCATCGGAGGCTGAAGTCACAACTTGTTTTTACCGCTATCTAAATTTTTGCAAATGCACTGTGCATTGTCGTGCAATTCCTCTCCAGACTAAAGAAACGAACCATGTCAAACTCAAAGGGTTGATGACTTGATCAACCATCAAATTCCGCAGAGAAAGAACGCTCAAATTCGGCGTCCACGAGGACACCCGCGATGACATGCACCACGGTCTCGCCCCTAACAATATCGACGCACTCCGACCGAACGCCGTTCACGACGAGCGCCCCGCGCGCGTCGACGAGCGCCCCGCGCGCGTCCATGGAGGCGTAGAGGCTCAGCCCGGACACGGAGTCCAGGAGGCGCACCGCCCCGGCCCCGCGCGGCGGCGGCACGTCCGCGGCGAGCAGGCGCCGAGGGACCGCGGAGAAGCCGAGCACGCGGGAGAGGATGGCGTAGGTGTTTGCGTCGGTGTCGCTGGCCGCCGCTTCCCCTCTAGCGGCGGCAGCGCTGGCGTTGGACGACGGCCCCTGCAGCCTGAGGACGCGGGTGAAAGAGTCCGCCGAGGGCACGAAGACGGTGAACGGGAGGTCCTTGGGCAGCATGGACACCATCGCGTCGCCGAGCTCCCCGAGGCTCGCCGCCGCGCTGCTGCAGCGAGGCGGCGACGGTGCCGAGGACGAGGATGGTCTTGCGACGACGGCGTGGTGGTGGGACGGTGGCGAGGGAGGGGAGGTGGTGGAGAGAAGCACGAGGAGCAAGAAGAGGATTGCAAAGGCGAAGGCGATAGCCACGGCGAGGAGGCGTGGCGGCGGCAGCGGCAGCCGTGGCCTGAGCGGGGACAGCCTCCGCTTCCTCGCCGCCGTCACGTTCCTGTAGCGCGGCCAGGAAGGATGCATGAGAAGACCTGGACTGGAAGGTGGAAGTGAAACTATTGGCACCGTTGCTGGTTTCATTTTGCTTGCTCGATTGACGGCGTGGTCAGTACGCCTATGGATGCTGCATCAGTACGTTTGAGTGCCCGCGCATCACGGTGTTGATTAAGCATTTCGTACGCTTCAATGCAATTCCCGATCGAGGGCAGGGCAGATGGAGGCAGCCGTGCCGGTGAGCTATGGGGCCAGGAGCCATGCGGCGGGCGTGGGGATGGGCACGGCACGACCGGCCATGCCGGATCCGGCTGCATGGCCGCGCGCTGTTTCCCGAGGTGTTGGCCCCCCGCCGCTGGCGGCAGGCAGGGCATGAAACGTGCGTTTTGACGAGGACCGTGCAGCGTGCGGGTCGCGGCTGCGACATGCCGCACGGGCTGGTGCCTGGTGGGGTGGGCCGGCACGCCACACGCTGGGCACGGCCCGAGAACGCGTGGGTCTCGTCTTGTCCAAGGAGTTTCCCGTCGGGCCGTCACCGATTCCGCCCACACCATGCGAGGCCCGATGCGCGCGCGCAGGTAGAACGAGTGGAGACCATCCGTGCCCTGCCGACTGCGCCCATCCGTCCGAAAGCGCCGCGCCGACGACGCCGTTCGCGTTCTACCTCCGGCGTGGCGGTGCCCCTGCACTGCAGGAATCGGGGGATACGGCTGGAGCAGGAAGTCTCTGCCACCTACTTGTGCTTACTTTGTCCACTTCCAGTCTTTTGACACTTGCCCCGAATTCAGTGGCAGGCGGTTTTCTGGTGTTGTCACTTGCTGACTTGTGAACTGTGATCATGCTACGTATGCTCCGGCAGTTTTGGGGAGCGTACTGATTTGCTGAAAGGTTACCCCTGACTCCCTGAGTCACCAGTCATACACAAAGGCCTCACGTACTCCTAGGCCTACTTTGGGAACTTAGGGCGATTAACCTAGAGAACAAAACCCCTCCGTGGAATTTTTTTTTGACAATTCGAATCCCCGCGCACCCGCAGGTACGGGACAATTACCCTGCGGCTGTTTGGAAGCAAAATTTCAGGCTAGGGGAGATAACCACGGACATCCCTACTCGCAAAATCCTTGACCAAAGGACTTAATCAATGAAATTCAACTGAACCATTGACCAACGGACTTAACCATAGAAATTAAACTGGATTGATTGCATGAAGCAGAGACAGCAGCAGCCTAATGCAAAATCCTTCCTTGCTATAATGAACAACATTTTCATGAAAATAATGCATGAAAAAACACAAAAACCAAAATAATGCAAATAATTGAGTAACATGAGAAGCCGCATCAAGAATATGGAATGATAATTTTTTTTTGACATAGTTCAATACATAGAAAGATTTAATTCAAGTGGCAAATTAAACCTAGCTAATCCATTCGTCACCAAATCACAGATCAAATCCATCCAGATATCCAAGACATATAATAAAAAATATGGTTTAACTCCTTGCATAAGCAGTGTTCGAGAGAGAAAAAAAGAACTCCTTTGCATAAGCTTTTCACATAGACACTGCAGCCAGTAAAAATAATTTTCTTCTCAAATCATGCATTTGCTTCCACACCAAGAACCCTGCAGGTAAACAAGGAAAAACATTAGTAGCTAGAGACATACCTAAAGTAAACTAATCTAGTGTTGCTAGGATACATCAACTTGAACCAAGGGCGAACATGTGGCATGCCACACCAAGCAAATTACAAATGTGGAAAAGTTGTTTAGTTTTGGTGCAGCTGCAGGTTAGTCATCTAAGCTCCACAAGACTTGTCATAAAATGCAGAAACAAATTCAATCAGACCTACATAGAAGGATGGCTAAGATACTTTTTTTGAGAAACCAAAGTAAACAAGATAGCACTTTTGTACAGGGTAACAACTAAACCTGTTAAAATTCAACTAAAAAAGAAGTAAATATATTGGCATCAACCAACCGAAGAAAAAGGTTAAACTATTTCATCATGTATTAAGATATTCATAGTACTACTGCTTTTCCCTTCTATATTCCACTCTGAAAAAGGTTACTAGCAGTAATCCCATTGTTACATAATTTATATATTCTTTCTGTTCATTGATCATAAATAAAATGCAAATTAAATTAAAATAAAGCTTCTTGACCGACTAGCTAGCTGAGAGTACACATTAGGCTAGCTAGCAGATTGACGTGTGTACTTTTATTGAAGTGAGCATTGTATTAAGCTGTACTCTGTGCAGTTAGTCACCTCCGATCAAAAACTTAAATCGCAAATCTACCTCTAATCATCATCCAGCAGGCAAGCACAGCAGCTGAACAAACCAAGACTACAATAGCCCTGTTCGCTTCGCTGAAAAAAAAAGCCGAAACACTGTTTCTGGCTGATTTGTTATGAGAGAAAAACACTGTTCCGGCTGAAAAAACAAGCTGAAAAATATGGATTATAAGACAAACGAACAGGACTAATTCGCAGCCTAGCACTATGTTGAAACTCCTTCTTTAGCCTATCTGTGCATGCATTACGAAAGAGCATGAACATAAAAAGACCAAGTTGCTCCTCAATCTTCATACCACGTGTCACGTAGCAAGTTCTCAGCCCTGAGAAAGTTTGCTATAGTTCTAAATATTTCAGCCTCTATCCTAAATTCTTCCTTGCACCAATTCTCGTGTCATTCGAGGATCTCTTTAACCTTTTTAGCACGAGGAACATAAGAGGTATGCTCAGGTGTTTTCTCTTCATCGAGAAAGGGCATTACAGCAGGGAGAAGAACAAAGAATAGCTCCTCATCTTCTTCTTCTTCCTCTTCCAACAAAAAATTCCTAGTAAGCTCCTCCCAAGAAGCCATCTAGTGTTACATATATGAAATTATATTATTACATATATATAAAAACTGTCAAGTACCACAAATTCACAACCACAATTGGCCAAACAGAGCACTAGAGAGAACATGTTTTAGGAGGAACATGCTAGGAACTTTATGAAAGTCAAGGGCTGACTTTTAGAAAATTCCTAACATGCTCTTCCCAAGAACAAAGAATAGCTCATCTTCTTCTTCCTCTTCCAACAAAAAAATCCATTGAAAGAAGCAAAGCATACAACAATTAAAATGTATCTTCCATCGAAATCTAGTGTATCGGTAAGAATCTCACCAATTCAAATCAAATAGAGAAAAGGAGAGCACTCAAAGTAGAAAACAAGTATTAGAATGGCAGATTCAAAGTATTAAAAGTCTAAAAACGTTGAGAAAATAAGTATTAAAAGTAGAGAAAAAACAGTATTAAAAGTCTAAAAAAGTTAGAAGTACCTAATCATTTTCTATAACATTCTACAACAGCACCTAATCATATTTATAACACTCTCTGACACAGACCTAATCATCCAGCAAAGACTTACAACAAAGACACCTACTCATCCAAAGATGTATACATTCATTTTTTAGAACAGAAATCGACAACAAAAACAACAACCAAATTATCTATTTTAAAGCCAAAGGAATATGACCCACTATGCTTAATAAGGCCAGACGACCCAACTCAAATGCACTTGCATGTCATCAATTTTCATTCGAACGTAGTAATCTTGCTACACAAAAATTAGACATAGTTTTGTATCTATATATGTGCCTGCCACACAAATTAATCTGGTCATCCACTGAACTCAAATAACAACCCATTTTCATAACTGTCCCTACACAAGTGTCACCCCGTCCCAACACGCAGATGCGACAGTGTCACCCCGTCCCAAGACGCAGCAGAAAATCACTCCTGCAAAAGCATCATGCCCTTATTAGTCAGAGAGATTTAGTAAGCACTTGTTTGAGATTTAGCACGCTGTAAGGTCGAGATGGCGGACTAGAGGGGGGATGAATAGTCTTTTCTAAAATTAATCGCGTCGGCTAACCGATATAAATGCGGAATTAAAACAATCGGTCTAGCCAAGACTACACCCCTCTATATATGTTCAATAGCACCTTGCAAAGATACTAATAAAGCAACTAAGGTGCCGGGCTAGCTAGAGCTCTCCTAAACAATTTTAGGAGCAAGGTCACACAAACCTATGCCACTAGTACTTTAAGTAACAAGGGAGCTCCTACACATGCTAGTAAGCAAAAGCACAAAGCTAACTAAGCTCACTAGCAATGCTCAATAACAAGACAGCCAACGCCTAATTAGAGAGCGCAAATACTTAGCTACACAAACAAGCAATGTGACTAACAAGGTTACTAAACCAAATTAGCCACGCAAGGGAGCTACTTCTATGCTACAGAAGCAAGAAGGTAATTAGCTAGCTACACAAGCTATCTAATTACAAGAGCAACTACACAAGCTTAAGATATATATATATAAGTAATTGCAAGCTTGTGTAATGGGGATGCAAACCAACGGGAAGAACAATGTTGACACGATGATTTTTCTCCCGAGGTTCACGTGTTTGCCAACACGCTAGTCCCCGTTGTGTCGACCGCTCACTTGGTGGTTCGGCGGCAAATTAGCATCACCCGCTAAGCCCGCACGTCGGGCACCGCAAGAACCTACCCCTTGAGTGAGGGTAGCTCAATAACACGCTTTACTAAAGTTGCTCTTCGTGACTCCCGCGGGGCGAGCACAAGTACCCCTCACAAGCACTTCTCCGGAGCGCCGCACAAGCTTCTTGCGGGCTTCGACGGAGACCACCACCAAGCCGTCTAGGAGGTGGCAACCTCCAAGAGTAACAAGCACCACCGGCTTGCAACACGACCACCTAGTGCCACTCGATGCAACCTCACGAATCAATCGCACTAGAATCGCTCACTCACACAATCGAATAATCACTATCAAGTATATGTGTGATGGAGGGCTCCCAAGCACTCACAAGCATGGACACTAAGTCCCCTTAGGTGCTCAGCACCAGCCATGGCCGAGGGCCACTTCTATTTATAGCCCCAAGGGCTAAACTAGCCGTTACCCCTTCACTGGGCAACGGTCGGGCCGACCGGACGCTCCGGTCGTGTTGACCGGGCGCTGGACCTCAGCGTCCGGTCGCCCGCAGACGGCCACGTGTCCCGGTTCCAACGGTCACTTGACTTGACCGG